TGTTATTACTTAGGATTTTTTCAGTTTTAGGTCATAGAAACCCAATGCAGTCCGGCTTGAATAAAAACAGAAACACACTGCCCACAGTAAAGAAGGGATTCAGCATTTATTTCTTAACACTTTGTGGGTAGCTTCATCCAAAGTTCACAAGATGTTAGCTGGACCCCATTTATCACTCTGCTTTTCTTCTGCTGCTTCTTTAGTGTTATCTGAATTCTAGCCAAGAACACAACTGCCAGTCATGGGCCTATCTCTTTCCAGATTTACCTCCAGGAAGAAAGAGAGGAAGTCACTTCCTCCAAAGCTTAAGCAAAAGCCTAGGAACTGAGTTTCTAATTGGCCTAATCTAGATCTCACATCCACCTCTGAACTAAGGACTGTGGCCAGACACAGGCAAAGCACTAGATTTATTGGTTTAGGAAATGTGATTCATCCCCTGAAGCCTGGAGGCCAAGCTTGTGGAAGACGACCACTTAGGAACTGGTTATCAGGAGACAAGAGTGTATAAGTGAATGGACACCAGGCAGCAGAAGCCAAGGACTAAGAGTGATTTGCTCAAACTCAAAGATTCCAGCGTACATACATCACAAAGGGCAGCAAATGTTACATATCAAATGTTTCTCATTAGGCCGATGGCACCACCATTCCCCATCACATAAGGTCATGTGGTCAATAAACACTGTTGTTTAATAAACCAAGCCCCTGGGACCCTAACAAGACACAATAAATACCATCAGTGTGCATTCCAACAAGGCTATAGTGTTTTTCAGTGCCTCCTACAGACCACTGATTTAACTATTTTATACAGCAAGAAAATTAGGATTTTTTCTTTTTCTGTCTTCTTTAACATACCCTAATGTCTCATGGATCCAACACTGAGTACTGGAGGGCATTTCCCAAAATGTACCTCTTGAAGTGGCTCAGACTTCTTCAGTTTTAATTATTTTACTATAAATCCTCCTAAAATGCATAACACATTTCCCCATCTTAGTAAAACCAGGCTGATGAACACAATTTAACCTGGGACTGGTCTTTTCTGATCCACTACAGTGATGCTCTAGGGTGTCATTGAGTTCTATACCAAATGGTGCCAGGCCACCCTGCTTCCTGTGTTGGGAGCTGTAACATTGTGGACTAAAATGATCCAGTCTGGTCTAGGGTGTCAAAAGGGTCCTAGGCCCCAAACCAACTAGTGCAATGCACACCTCCAATATTTGTAATAGCCAATCTTAATATATTTGTATATTTGCAAGTGTGAACATGGTATGTCATATAATTAGATTAAAAGACTTTCTAAAAAGAAATGCCAATTCTGTTTCATCCCAAATTTTCTTATTGCATATAACTTTCTTGAATGAAACAACACAGGTCCTAAAGGCTAGGTCTAAAAACAGTAACAAAAGCCTGTGCCTCTAAAACAATCCTTAGCCTCTGAAATTTGCACCAATAGGAAATTGATCATCAAAGATGTATGTCCCCCAAGGAGAGCACACTATCTAACACCCACATAAGAGGTGGTTGTGAAGGGTAAGGGGGAGGGAAGACCCTCCCAGAAGGCAGAGCTGGGCCTCAGAGAGCAACAGATGAGGGAGGCCCTTCCAGAGAGCATAAAAGGTGGTAATGATGAGATCCTCCCGCCTCTCAATGCTATGTGTCTCCCATTCTTCTGAATGAGGATTTTTATTGCAGTGTGACAACACTTTTGTAGAGGGGCAGAAAACTCTCCTTTTCAACAGAACTAGGAGAGGAATTTTATCCATAGCTTCCCCCACATGTGTAAGGATTACCAAAAAAGTTGGACGGATGCCATATGGGAAAAAATAAAGAGAAGAGGCACAGAGAAGGAAGAAAGGGCTCATCAGTGGAAAACCCTAGAAAATACCAGCAAAAATCCAATTATGAAGGCGAGGGTCTCATTCTGAACTTCAAAAGAGATACCCTTGTTTGCACCAAGTATAGAAAACAGGGTGAATAGAGAGAGCAGCAGAAGCCCCCTTGAACTTGATCTGGTTCAGAAAAATCAAAGAGGCAGGACTAAACAAAAAATAACATAGATGGGTCACATTTGCAGGCAACTCTCTCTCTTTGGCAGCAGAAAAGTTGGGGATGTGCTACCTGGAAAGTTACCCTACCTCTCCTGGCTCTCCTCCCCAGCCCTACATAATCATTTAGCAGATAGCTGGATCAGGAATATCCAGTTTGTTGGGAATCAAGTATTTAAAAGAGAAATCATCCCAGCATAAATATAAAACTTCTGCTTTTTTTTTAATGTGGAAGGAGCAGCAACACTTACCAATGGATGAAAGACACTCAGCAGAAAAATATATTGCCCCAACCAGACAAGAAGTGTGACCAATTATGAAGTAATCACCTCCAAGAACCTTCACAGCAAAACCACAAAGCAGAAAAGCAAGAAATCAGGAAAGAATCGAAAAGATGACAAGGAAAAATGGAATGTGAGCTAACGGAATTCAGAAAAGAAACACAAAGGGAAAAAAGTCCCCTAATGATCACAAAAATGAAAATCGGAAGAAGTATATGGCAAAATAGGCACCATGCAAAAACAGGAAAGGAATAGAGAAGATAAAATGAACAAAATGGAAACCACATTTTAAGAGTTAAAAAGGAGTAGAGGGGGAAATGACAGGCACAAAAGACAGGCAAAGAAGCGACAACACATGTATAGTCGGAATCCCCAAAGAACAGAACCAAAACCATATGGCAGAGAACGTGTTTAAAGATGACAATCAAGAACACTTTCCTGAAGGGGAAGGGGGTAGGAGGGATGGGGTAACTGGGTGATGGGCATTAAGGAGGGCACAGGATGTAATGAGCACTGGGTGTAATGAATCACTGAACTCCACCTCTGAAACTAATAATACACTATATGTTAATTAATTGAATTTAAATTTTTTTAAAAAAGAGAATAAAAAAAGAATGCTTTCCTGAAATAAAAGGGACAAAGCCTAATAGTATTATCAGATGAAAGATAAATAATCTTTTGAGTAGCCAAGCAAAAAGGTGAAATCATTTATAAAAGGGGGAAAAACTTGGACTGGCATCAGGGTTCTCCACAGCAGCACAGATATCAGAAAAGAGTGGATTATCACCCAGAAGACCCTCAAAAAAGAAAATGTGAGTCAAGAATTTTATTTCCAGCCACACTGCCCCAGGAGGGTAAGGTTGCCATTTTGAGCAATGCAAGGACTGGGGAATATTTCTCCCGTGAGTCATTTTTAAGGCAACTACTTGAAGATGAGTTTCAGCTGAGCAAGTGATGATGGGGAAAGTCACGGAAGGACTAGAGAGGAACACTGACAATATGTAACTTCGTAAATGTGATTAAAACAAATGCGAGTATCAGGGTAACAGAACAGAATGTAAATCATATACTCTGACATTATAGAATGATACAGTGAGTAATAATCCACAGCCCAAGAGTGAAAAAAGTTGAGATGCTAAGTTCACTGACTGCATTATACATAATAGTTGAGAGCCAAGAGTTATCATTTGAAGTGAGCAAATCATCGAATAGAACCATAAGTATATTTAATAATTTAAAAATAAACATCAAAAGGATGGTGTCAATTGAAATTGTGTGGAGAGAAAAAGAGATGTCATCGCCTACAATAGGGAACTAATAAATACTGCTTAAAGAAGAGAAACTAAGTTTGTTGTGTATGATTATAAAGTTAACCCCCAACACAAAACTATAAAACTCCCCAAGAATCAGAAAAAGAGACACACACAGATATAATAAGACAAAAATCAGTGCAGGAAAGAGGTAATCATAGATCACCACAGGATCAGTTATAAAGAGCATTTGCCTGGTCAAAATCATGTAAACATCCACTGTTGATCTAATTAAACTATATTGGGAAGATAGGAGGATGGGAAGAGAGACCTTTTACAGTGGGGCAGGGAGGAAGAAAAAGAACTACAGTCATCCCCCCTTGTCTGCAGGGGATAGGTTCCAAGACCCCCAGTGGTGCCTGAAACCACGGAGAGTACCAAACCCTATATATACCATATTTTTTCCTATACATACATCCCTATGATAAAGTTTAATTTATACATTATGCACAGGAAGAGACTAACAACAGTAGTCAATAATAAAAATAGAATAACTTTAACAATATACTTTCATAAAAGTTTTGTGAATGTGGTCTCTCAAAATACCATATTGTACTGTACTCGCCCATCGATTCTCAGCCTTTTGGCTAAGATCAAGGGTAGTATCTGTACTGAACTCGCCCTTCCTCTTCCTGTGATGCTATGAAGTGATAAAATGCCCATGTGGTGAGATGAAGTGAGGTGAATGACATAGACACTGTGACGTAGCATGAGGCCACTACTGACTTTCTGATGCAGCATCAGAGAACAATCATCCACTTCCGGACCACAGGTGACCCAGGGTAAATGAAACCCCGGAAAGCAAAGGCGTGCATGAGGGGACCACTGTAATTTCTCACCTTCCACAACTGGAAGTCAAGAAATAATCTCTAACACTGAAAATTCAGGAAGTGGCAATACAAGTGTGATATTTAAAGACAAGGAAATGAATATCAAAATAATCAATCAAAAGAGACGAGAGTGGTTGACCCAGGGGAGGTGAGGACAGGCAGAGGGGCAGAGACGGCTCTTTCATAACAAACTGTAGAACTTTGGGGTTCTTTCATAGGCAACCTTAGTAATAAAGTACACGTTTTTAAAAAGGAATTTGAGCTCCACTGACCACTCCATATTTTGATTTCCCACTCTGACCATTTCATCAGGTCCTTTCAAACGAAAGGCTCTCTAACCTCTCATTTTGAAAAATGAAATTCCTTAGTCTGCTTTGCCTTTTATAGAAAACCACTCACAACCCCTGCATTTATCCGACAGTGTGCCATGAGCCTCCTTTGAACCTCAAGCTGTCATGGTGCTAGGACCAAACGTTGACCAAGCGCCATTTCTCAGGAGGGTCCCAGAGGAAAAGATGTTAGCAAATGAACGGATACCTATGGTGGTGATGACAGTCCCAGCAAAGAAAAAGGCACTTCCAAGGTCCCAGTGACTGCTGTTGTTGGAAGAGTTTCCTATCGGACTTACTCCTGCGTTGTCAGCGTCAAGGGCATGCTGCAAAGAGAGCAAGAAAGCACAAGATTCGGTTAAAAATTTTAAAAAAAGCTCTCAAATTGTTTCCTTGCTTAGGAACCTGAAATGATTGGGCAACTGACTGGCTCAGTTGGTTGAGTGTCTGACTCGGTTTCAGCTGGGGTCATGATCTCAGGTTCATGAGATGGAGCCCCAAGTTGGGCTTCACACTCAGTGGGAATCTGCTTGAGACTCTCTCTACATCGCTCTCTGCCCCTCCCACACACACACCCCTCCCCCACTGCTCTCACACATGCCTCCTTCTCTCAAATAAATAAGTAAATCTTTAAAAAAAAAAAAGAAACTGAAATGATCTATAGGGGACTGGTTACGTGAATGTGGGTGCAGTCACAACATGAAATACTAAACACCCACTTGGTAAAATTAGAAAATTCGTTTTAGGTGGGAAAAAAAACTAGGCTATATAGTATGGTGCCATTTATGTAAATTTTGCAGGCACAGGATTTAGGCAATCTGGGCACAGGTTATGCAAAATACATACATATCTCTGTGTATATACATAGAAAGATGTCTAGAAGGATTGTCACCCAAAATGTCATTCCTGGATGTCAGGATCTCAGTTGCTTTTCACTCTTCCCTTTTCTGTTTTGTTAAAATGTTTTACACTGAGCTTGCTTCAAGAGGGCAGGAAGTGAGAGCCTGGGCTCCTAGATCAGACCAGCAAGGCTCTGCTCATTATTAACTTCGGAACCGTGGACAAGTTATCTTAACCTCTGTAAATGCAAAGGTCCTCATTTGCAAAGGGGGGATAATAATACCTTTGCCCACAGAGTTTTGAGGATTCAATGAGAAGATCTGTGTAATGCACTCAGCCCAGGGCCCAGCACCGAGTTAGGGGATAAGGAATAGAGGTCAATTTCGTGACTGTCATTTGGACTTCCCCCACCTCCACCCTGCAACACACACACACACACACACACACACACACACACACACACCTCCTTTTAAAATAAGTAACCATGACTCCTCGCTGGCTGCAGTATTTGGAATTCCATACCCCTTAAATTCACATAAATTGGCCACACTGATATCCAAGCTCATTTCACACTAAGACACTCCCTGATACCTCCGGACCTTTGCTTATGCCCTCCCCCAGTCATGCCTATCCTGCAGGGTCCAATCTGGGCTCCACTTCTTCCAGGAGGCTCGATCCATGTACTGCAGCCCCCACAGATACCTGCTTCCCAGGGCTCCTACTCCTGCACCACATATATTTAATTGGCTTTTGATCACACACTCCCCAGCTGAAAATCCTTGCCTAGACTCTGCCTGTGCAGAATAAGGTGCCAAATACGTCAGCAGTCCTTCCTGAGCTGGCCTCTGCCCACCCCTTTCAGGCCAGGGGAGAGGGTAGGAAGAACCTTCAAGCAAGTGAGCTGTGCTGAGGAAGTGACAGGTGGGGCCTTCAGAGAGAGGTGACAGATGTATGAGCTACTTCTGGAACAACAAATAGAGACACCGTTCCCTGAACAAAGTTGGAATAACCTCATGTGGAGATAACAGGTCACAGTTAAATACTGAAATGTGATTCTATTTATCCTAAATAATGCCCATGAAGCTTTGTTCAAACAGGCAGACAGCGTTTGCCACTAATCAGACTAACTGAAAAAGTCAATCATCGTTACGTTTTGCCTTCACTAATTGGAGATATTTCAAACTCTCTAGACCAGGGATCAGCAACCTTTTTCTGTAAGGGCCAGATAGTAAATATTTTGGGCTTTGTGGGCCACATATGGTTTCTGTTGCATGTTTTTCTTTTCCTTTTACAATGCTTTAAATATTCAAAAACCATTCTTAGCTCATAGTTGATACAAAAGCAGGTCGCGGGCTAGATCTGGCAGACCCCTAGATAACTGACTGGACAGTAGGGGGGAAAAATCTCTTTTGTTTAAGTGTATTCTTTCCTGCCCCTAAGAACATGAGATATGCCACTGGATGCTGTTTCTAAGATTAAACCCTGGCACCCCAGGTTTTAAAATCCAGCCTCGCGGGATTCACGCAGGCTGTCTTAGCCCATGTTTAACCGACCTAATTGACAACTATCACTTACTCATCAGAGGCAATGCTCTGCTCTGCTTTAGAGGAAGACAGATGGCAAGTCCTTTCTCCTGGTAAAATACCCATTTTCACTGTGCTGTGTGAGTGCCATCAGACCAAACCACAGGCCTTAACTAGTGTTTATGTCCTCTTTAAGTATTCGGCTCTGCCAGGCCCATCTGCAAGTAATACCTTGGGGACAGCTCTAGGCCTCAGTCACTTAGTTGGGTTCAAATCACACTATCAATACCTAATATTTACAACATCTATGAAGCTGCAAAGAGAGCTGGGGTTCAATCAAGTCTCACTGTGCTGAGAAATGCACCTAAATGTCATAAGCAGCACATAAAAGTACAGATTTACAGCAGAGACAAGTGGGGATGATTATTTGTTTCATCAAAAAATCCAGAGTAAGATTCCTTTTTAAGTTTCATTTTTTGAATTATGCAATTTATAAATATTTAATGTTTACATATGTAGCCCTCAAGGAAAGCATGTGTCGGGAGGGAAACTACTATTTGTTGAGTTTCTGCACACAGGCAGGTGCTTTAGAAGTGTTATTCCATTTTATCCTTCCTGCAACTTGCAAGAAAGTAATATTATCCCCACATTAGAGATAGGGAACCAGGCTCAGGAAAGTCAAATAACTTGCCCTAGGCCACACAGCCGGGAAGTGAAAGCCAGAATTCAAAACTGGACTGGGCCCAAGCCATGGTTTTCACCTCTCTTCTCTATGTGGCATGCCTCTCTCCCCACCTCCATGCTCACCTCCAGACAGAAATGAGGAGGAAGACCGCCACTTCCCAAGAACTTAGGCAGAAGGACCTCTCAAAGGATCATTTCTAATTAGAATACATCCTTAAACATATAAATGCAGGCACCAACCTTCATTTGGCTGTTGAAGCTGGTGAGAGCTTAACTGCTTTGCATTTAAAATAAAATTTAAAAAATAAATAAACATGGGGAAAGATTGATTTTATACCCTGAGAGGGAAGGAACAGATAAAAGAGAGTGAAAGCCCGGAAAAAGCAGGAAGACAAGGAAGAAAAAGTGAGAAAGGAGTGTCCATGGATGCTTGGGAGCTTCGGGCTCAGCTGCAGCAAAGCCGGGTACTTTGAAAGGCAGGTGCATCCAGCATCCAACTTTAACTTTGTTTATATCTGCGATGTAAATCCCTCTCTCACTTTCCCAAATCTACAGTAAAGTGGGCTACACATGCAAATACTTTGAGGAAGTGGTTTTGTGGAAATTAAATATAAGGGCTGTTATGGGCACGGTGGGGCCAGAACGAGATTTGGAACCTGAAGCACGGAGAAAATGAAGCTCTCCAACAAGTCACCAAGACCTTGGTGAGGCTTTGGACAATCCCCAGTCCTGGGAACAAGGTTTGATTATTCTGTCTAGATCGGATGGGTCAGAAAGACTCCAGCAAACCACCACAATTAAAACAAATTGGCAAACTCGGGCTATACACACAGAAAGAAAACACAGTTTAAACAGACTATCACTTGAATTAATAGCATCATTTTTAACTCAATAAGAATATTTCTGATTGAGCTCAGAGTTCCAACTTTATTAATTTTTTAAAATATTTTCTAATGATCTTAATTGTTTGAACTCAAGTAAAACATTTTAAAATTAAATACACTTGCTCTTATGTTTTTTTCTCTGCGTTCAGGCTGCAAAAGTGAAGATAAGCCAGCCCATTAGAAATGTCTGAGCACATGGATAATGAAATGATGCATCTGAGCTGTGTACAGCTTCACTTAAAAAATCAGTTATAGGGGAGAGATATAACCAACAGCGACATCATGTTAGGCCACAATCTCAGACCCAGTGAGCAACGTGTGTGCACTTACAAGTTCAACCAATATCAAGTTCAGAGAGCTCTTATGAGGATCCAAAAAGAAATTATACTCGATATGATGTGAGACCTTCAGGAAAAGGGTACTCTAGATAAGAGGGCATTACTTTAAAATTTAATTCTACTCGTTCTTGTATTTTCTTTTTAGCCTCTAAGTTGGAATTTCCAGCACCCACCCAGCTACCCAGTAAACAACTCATGAGTGAATGTTCAGATCAATAATAAACGAATGAACAAACTAAAGTAATAAGTTTAGACCCATGCAATTTACTTCTTTGTAAAAGCAGAGAAACATAATAAGAAAGTAGCCCCACGAAAAGAAATATAATGATTGTTTTAAGAAAGAAGAAGAAGGTGAGTAGCTAATGTGAATGGGCTAAGATCTAAAAGAATAGAGTGGTGGCTGCCCAGGGGCTGGACGGTGGGAGAAATGGGGCAATGTTGGTCAAAGGGGACAAACTTTCCCTTATAAGATGAGTAAGTTCTGAGGACCTAACATACAACGCTGTGATCACAGTTAGTGATACTGCATTATACCTTTGAAAGTTGCTAAGAAAGCAGATCTTAAGTACTTTCACCACAAAAAAAAAAAAATGGTAATTATGTGACATGATGAAAGTATAATGTAATTCCTTGCAATATATAAATGTAGCAAATCAATATATCGTACACCTTAAGCTTACACATTATATGTCAATCATATCTCAGTAAAACTGGAGAACAAATAGATAAAAGAGTCTGTCCCCCTCCCCCCACCCTCCCACTACCACCCCCAGGCGTTAAGACCACCAGAAAGGTATAACAAAGAAACTGCATCCCCTCTGAAAGTGAGGTGGGTCTGAGGCTGATAGGAAGACAGGAGGTAAAGATAACCCTCAGAGGTCCCCCACCAGGTACCCCCACCAGCTCCGCCCTCCCACCCCCATGCTGTAATCCCATTAGGCAATGCCAGGCTGCCCAAATCACTGTTGCAGATGGCGCAAGATACCATCGTGAGCTTTAGCACTACAGTGGGATGAATGATGACCCACAGGGGACCGCTAACTGTCTGTGGCTTTTC